GCCGTAAGATCACGGCTGGCTCCGCCCAGCTGTCAGAAGCAGGCAGTCGGCCGTCCGCTCGGCCAGCTTCGGCTTTCTGCACGGCTCAGCCGAGCCGATGCATATGCGATCGGCTTGACTGAGCCACTCGGCCATGATCGGGAGCTGTACGGGCTATTGTGAATAGCCCGTACAGCACCCCCTCGGTTCTACTGAACCGAAGGGGTCCTGGGGCCGAAGCTAGCCCGAAGGATCGGCCGAAGCTACGGCCAGATCCCTCGGCAGCTTCGTGAATAGACCCCTTAGTAAAGCAATACATGTTAGAAGAATATTGGGAGGGGATGAAACCCAGAACAACCAATTAGAAATAATATCTTAACTGATCTGACTATTTTACAATCACATGACTAATTCAGAAAGAGCATGTGTGTGGGATGCTGCATCTTGCATTATTAATCCCTCGTGAAATGTATAGAATCCTATAAGCATTTTAAAGCTCTTTGATTATTGGTTCAAAATGCTTATAGGATCTCTTTACCTTTGGACCTTTACTCTAGGTACCACAGTACCTAGAGTAAAGGTCCCTAGAATGTTTAAGAGCCAACACGTTTAGGGGCCTCTAACAGTCCCCCTTCATCAGGGTTTGATGTTGGGTGAACTTGAAATGAGAAGACTGGGAAATGTGAGAAATTACTGTAAAAGTTATCAAGTCAAGACCAGTGTAGTATCTCTATTGCTTTTCAAGCAGCAAATGAGTCCTTTAAATATTTCCTCTCATTTAGATTTTTACACAAAATTCACAGAATTCAAACCCTCATGAAAGGGGGGTCAGAGCCCCTGAAATGCAATAGTTGTTTAGCTTCACCCTAGTATGAACTATTTAAAGCTTGTTTGGACTCTGACCATTAAATGACAAATCCCTGGCGGGCTTCTGTTTGTAATGAACCAGCCAGGGATCCTGGGTGACTTAATTGATGGTCATGCCTGATTTAAATTTTAGGGGAACACCACATTGTTTTTTCCTCCTTTTTTATTGTGTCTGCCTCTTAAAAAAAGCTTGGGGTCCCACCTAAAATTCCTACCAGACCCTTATCCAGGTGTGTGCTCCCCCCTCTTTCTGAACCATACCAAGCCCCCCTCCATGTGCAAGGCACCTTGTTTCTATATTGAGAGGATAGTGGGGGTTTTCGAGGGGGGTTGAACTCAACCTTTTTTTAATAATGGGGCCCCCAGATATCTAGCCCCCTTATGAGTACAGATGCATTAGTATTCCTTATTACACCCCCCCCCACCCCCCGCCCAAAAAAAATAGAAATGTACATAAACACACAAGGGAACAGAACATATTTGGTTAACGACATCAGCCAGGATCCTCTGCCGTTTTTTTTTACAAACAGAAGCATGCTGGGGATCTGTCATGTTGTGGTGGTAGTGCAATATTAATGTAACTTTTAGAGTTAGCTTGTACTGTCCACAAACCTCCACATGTAAGGCATTCATAAGCATGTTATATAAAGGATTTGTATATTTTCAATTGTGCCTTTTTTTAAACAAAAGTTTTCCATTGGTACATATCCCCAATGACAGTGGCCAGCCACCCATGCCCTATTTTAAAAAAAAGCTTGGAAAAAAATGCAAGATTTGGATCCTATAGACTTCATTAGAGTTTGGCGCTTAACTCTGGATTCCCCAAACCTCCTGCAAACAGAACTTTGCCTGCTTCGCTCAGCCCTACTAATTCGTAAGCAGGCCTAAGAGGCGTATCAGTAGCATTATAGGCAGTGATCACACATTTTGATCTCATGCCATATTCTTCTTCTGCAAGACCAGTGCCCAACATATACTCTACATAAACATTAAAGGCAGCTAGGACCCTAGACTTTGAGGATTCCAGCTGAAGGAGCACAGCCCACGTAAATGCATGTTATTATCTCTAATCAAAAATAATTAATAAAAACACAACATACATTACAATTAAGAAGACATATATGTTTGTGCTTTATTCAAGTTATATTTCAATTGATCTGATCAGAAATTGTATTTCATCAAAATATCAACTTGCATCTTGTTGCATCCCAGGCCTGTCTTGCCTTGCACATATGTGAAAAGCAGACCAATCAAGTAACTCCAGCTCTGTTATGTGATATTAATTCTTGCAGTGTACACATGTAGGTTTATTTAGTTAGGCAGTTTAGTCTAAGGGCAATGGTAATGTGCAAATTGCAATAAGCTAATCCTTATCAAATTACAATTTAACACTGTTTTCTGATATGTAAATTAAGAATTTATAATTTTTGAGCTTTGCCCTTTGCTTTCCTAAATAAGATGAATGATATAGGGAGCAAAGGGTAGCAGAGAACAATTCTGGTCCTGTATCTTGTTGCTGGATCCAGGATCTATTATTACTGCCAATGGAGTAAGTGACAAAAAAATATTTCTTTGTTGGTTATACAACATTGGGTGGGCCTAATTTATAAGATGGTTTAAGAAAAAAAGTGTTCCAGATATATCATATCCACAAATCACATATAAACGTTTACTATCCAGCTTTATTTTTATGAGCATTGTGCATTTAGTGTTTATGCTAGTGTAATCCGTATGGAAGCTGCCACATAACTGATAAATTAAAGTGCACACAGATTTAATATGTAGAATTGTTTATGTATAAACAGATCTTGCTAAACTATGATATACCAAAATTATTAAAGGGCTAATGTGTATTTTTTTCATGGGAAGGAAAGTTGGGTCTACATTTTACTTTCACAAACATATTTTGAAACTACAGTGCTGGTTAAGCAGTACTGAAAACATTCATCACTGTAACTGTCCTCTATGCTGGTTCCGTTTTGTAATGAATCCTTCTAACTTGATGTCTTGTTTCCAAGGTAAAAGAATTAACCTATTTCTATTATCTAAACCTGGAGGAACGTGATGCTGTAGAAAACATTCTGCAACATGTGTTTCAATTTATGTTACGAAGGACTTCATCCAGTTTTTTAGAAGTACTGGAACATGTTGAGAAGTATCCAGCTATAAAGGTAAACTTCTCTCAACTTACATGAGATATGAAATGTTCTTCCCTGTCCAAACCTATATTTAATAAAGTGTGTTTCTTAAGATCTTCAATGCAGTTACCTTCCAGATAGTAACCTGGCAAGAGTCGCAGTCCACTTATTGGATGCCCTGGTATTCTTCTTATAGTGTTATTACACTGTATGAGCACAACATCAGTTATTAGAGCTGGAAGGATTCCACGATATACATGATTTCAATTCAGTTAAGCAAAAAGTATACCTTCAAACAACCACAGGCTGAAAGAAGTTAGAAGGTTGGAATCACATGTGTGATCTTGTGGCCAATGTCCAGGTTTCCAACTCCTGCTCTTCTGGTTATTCAGTACTCTGCCAGTATTGCTTTTGAAACAGAGTAGGCCAACTAATGCTTACTCTCCTAGTGCTGAGAGCATTTTCCAAATAACATCTATAAGTCACCAGCAGATGGCCAGTAAAGTGAAGGTCTTCTAAAAGTGCAAAACCCATTCAGCCTTTGTGGATTGTGATAGTGACAATACAGAAAGTAAGCCCACTACATGTATATAAATAAACCAATATATTTGTTTCTCTGGGGTAGCAATTTTAGGGTTGAGGGGGTGCTCTGATTAAAAAATAAACACTCCATCGCTGCCAGGAAATCCTGTAGACGGAGTGTATATGCTCACCATGGTTTCTTGCATGGATTCTTAGGAATACAACTTTCCCATGAAAAGCCTCAACAAGAAGGTGATCGCAAAGCCTGCTCACTGCAGAAGGGACTAACATCCACATTTTGTGGTTAGGAAACCACCACCAATTGCCATTTGCCTACAAATTATAAAATGAAAAGTTATTAAACATGTCACCTCTACTTTACCTTTCAGGAAAACATTTGCTGGATGAATCAAATTCTAGATTTGACATGGGAGGACATAGATGATTTATATATTTTTATGCAGGAGATGAAAAAACTGGAAACTTTTGAAATGGTAATTTATCAATCTCCTTGTTCATAATTTTTTGCTATGATATAGTAAAGATATTTACAGTTGTGGAAGCATATATTTGCATCAGTGTTTGTTTTCATTATATGCTATCTTGGGCAATTCCAATCTCTTTACTAGGGATGCACCAATACCGTTTTTTGGGCATGGAGTGGGAGTACCAATTTTTTTTTGCTACTCGCTGATACTGAATACCGATACCAGAATTCCCTTTAAGGAAAGCCGGGCGGCACGTAATGACTCGCCGCCTGGCTTCCTGACTATTTGGGAAGCCAGGCGGCGTGTAATGACTCGCCACCCGGCATCCAATCAGGAAGCCGGGCAACGAGTCTTTACATGGCGCCCGGCTTCCTGATTGGCTGGGAAGCCGGCTCCATGCTCCCTGGTGATGAGCCAATCAGGAAGCAAGGCGGCATGTATTGACTCGCCTCCCTGCTTCCTGATAACTGAAGTTCCTGTATTGGGATAGGCATCGGGAGCATTTGGCGAGTACCTCAATCTATATCAGTGCATCCCTATTTTTTACAGTTCTGAGCTTACTCCCCAGCCCTTAGGCTAAATGTCCTTTTCACCAATGTCACTAGAAATGAAAGAGGGGAAAACATTCAGTGGGTAAACTTGTCTGCATGACAACTCTTTAAAAGGGGATTTCCCTCACATATAAAAGATATATCGCTTCTGGTTGAGTCTACAGAACAGGAAGTGAAGGGAAATCCCCTTATGTCACACAGATGTAAAACAAAAAATAATGATGACGGTTTTACCTATACTCTATTCAAAATGAAAAAAAATATGTTTTGCTATTAGATAAGCTTTAAGCACCAGCTTTACATCCTTTTGTCCATACTTATAGCAAACATCTTAATGCAGTTGAAATACATACAGTATACAATATGTAAGTGACATTACCTGCCAAAATATTTGTAATTCTATTAAGCTCTTATATTAATTCCACCTGTGTATTTTGAAAAGGATAAAAGTCTTATAAACCACTGAATACTTAAACCAGTTTAATGTTATAACACTTCATTTTGTATCTGATCTTTGCTGGGGCAGTTTGGCATCTTGAAACGGAACTCTTAAGCAATACACTTCATTAGTGATAATGAGAGTTATTGTGGATAATTTGTTACAGGAAAGAAGAGGGAGATATATATAACAAAAAAAATATGCATAAATAAGTCTTGGGATTGTCTTGCAGAGTGAGGTAATTGTGCGCTAACAGTTAAAAAATGGTCTATAGTAATGGCCTGCAGTTTCCTTTTAGAACCACCAGTCCAAAGCTGTTGAGGCTCAGAGGTTAAAACTGCATTATTTGATCACTAATCTGCTTCAGTTAATGCTGGTTAAAGCCATGTTTTTCAAAAAAAGAATTTTCCTACATACATTTCCTAAGAAGCATTGCCTTAAATCTCTCTCCCTGCACCCTGGTTTGGATTTAGGGAGAATTACATACAAACAATATGTACATTTTATTGCAATGGGTTAAGACCAAGTTGGTTCCATGAGACTTTTAAGTTGATGGATGGCCGTTGGCACTCATTCATTGCTAGACCCAATTATAGCAGACTCTATTGACATTGCATTGGGGTTGATTTACTATTGGCAAATTGGCTATACTTTAGAAGGGAATTTTCACTGTACAAGGTACATTTTCCCAAGCTTAGTAAATAAGGTGAAGCTCTGGTGACTTCCATTATACAATCATGTGCTTGTAAAAATACTTTTTTTTCCCTTGTAAATGATTGAGCATTCTTTGCAAAGTGCAATTTTACCATATTAACTAAGCTAAGGGAAAATACCCTTGCAAAGTGAACAGTCTGTTCGCCTTTGGAGATAGTAAGAACACTATATAATATACTACACATTTCTGATCAGTTTGTTCAGTCTCACACGAATAAAGAAGTTCATAGACATAAGATGGTAATTTGTGGAATTGGATGATTGCATAATGGATGCATGTGTACCTTTGAAGATTTCTGATCTGTTATCATCTAGATTGGGCATCAGTTATCCTATGTCCATTTGTAGCTTTACTGGTTACTCATCAAAATATATTTTTGTATCATATCGACAGCTAGGTGGTAAAAATAATTGCCTAAAAAAATAATAGCATTACTCATTGTTATTAGATAAGGGAGTGATCAGAAGCATAGGAGTCCCCTCAGAAGCTGCCAAGCTCCTGCATTTTGCAAAACACTCACCCCAGGCCTAACGGCCAATGTCTTTGTACTAAGACCTTCATTTTACCTTGTCCCAGACCAGTTACTTCCCCCAGACTAGTCGCATTACTAGCTTTCTATTGGAGGACAGCATGGTGGGAGGTAATCTATGTTTATGAAGTCGTTATTAAACTTGCCATTAAAAGACAGTATCAACAATACATAATATCAAGCTACTGTCTTTAAATATAAGATAAAAAAATGTAGTGTTTTCCTTTTTAATGTTCAACATCTCCTGCAGATTAAGAAAGAAGGTTGTAGCTATTGAATAATTTCATATCAGCACATGTTTTTACTTATCAGATAAATCAAATCTGCGCTGAATTCCTATTAGTTTTCTTCAGAGTTGAATATATCAACAAGCATGTGGGCTTGATTAATACCTCATAAAATTAAAAAAATGATTTAGTGTGAATTCAGATATGTACAGAACACAGACCATTGTTAAATTTACAAATAAATCTTTGGAAAGAACCTTGCACGGTGTTATTTTTCTTATTTTATTATGTTCTGTTCCAAGTCCACCATTTGTTTTCTCTTTCTTTAATATATTTATTGGGTGTCTTCTAACGAGACACTTGTAGAGCCTTGGTGAACTCTTCACCGGCACAGACATAATCATCAGTACATTATTAGCAAATACTTGGCTGATGATGGCAGTGATTAAAAGCAGAGCTCCCAAGCAATTCTCCCACTAATTCTTCCACAGATACGCAGCACATATTTCAGCTAGTGATGAACACAGGGCAGTTCTGGGAACAAAGCTAATTGTAGTAATGAATGAACGCAGGGCCAGTCCAGTCATAAGTTTAACAAGATCCAGGCTAATATCACTCCACTGATAACAATAAATGTGCTTGGAACCCAATGATAAACAGAGTGTGGCTGTATTTATTCAAGACAGCATTCATACACAGCATTCTGTCATATATTTTATTTTACAAGACAAATGATTAAGAACTTGATTCACTGCTTTCCTGTATGCTACCTTTATTACAACAGTTTAATCAACCAAAGCTAATTGCTCAATTCAAATTTGCCTGTTAGCAGTTTGACTTTTTTAGTCATATAAATGTGTCAAGCTGTGCTGTGTAGAAATGTATCATCAAGCTATTAATATTTAACAAGAACAAAGTGGAGTAAGGAGACCAGTACAAGATCTTATACTCTACCTTTCCCTTTATTACAGTGGGTACTGGGTGTAATTTTGAGCAAATATGATTCCATCAGAATTTAGGAAGCCTGACTGGGAACAGATGAAATAAGATATTACAAGGCCAATGGCAAGTCAAGTTGTAAGATATGTCTTCTTTTTTTCTGTTATGGTTTTAATTTAGGTGTAAACACATAAAAAGATTACAAGGTTATAAGCATAGATAGATAGATAGAGATATGGTTGCAAAGGCAAGTACAGACAACATTTTCAACAGTTGACATTCGGTGTACCATGGAAAAGCTGAGATAAAGACCTTTGATGTGTGAACATTTTCAACAGTTGACATTCGGTGTACCATGGAACAGCTGAGAGAAAGACCAGTGATGTGTGGGGGCTTTGTGCAAACCCAGTTCGCTGAAGTTCACCCAAGCCTGTGCAAAGCTGTGACTGACACAACTCCCCTCCTGGCTGCAGCAGGGGCTTTCCCGGCAACTTTGTGATGTATAGCTGGGGAATGCTCTGGTCACAACTAATCGCACAACCCAGTTGGTGCAAGCCCAGTTCACCTGAGTTCACTCAATTAGTTGGGCACACTTAGGTTAACTGGGTTTGCACCAAGCCCATGCACGTCATAAACAGTAACCAGGAATGTGAATGTTGAAGATTCTGTAGTTGGTCAGTTGAGGAGTTACTCAAAATGTGTCCTATTTAAACCCAACATGACCTACAATATAATGAAATCTAGTTATGTGAATATTAGTTGATGCTGGACAAATATAAAGGTGTTAGAGAGTGTGAATGTGTTTATTAGGAGGGTCTATAATGGGGGGATTGGTTGTGTAGGTGATGTAGGTGGGTTATCAAATTATCAGGTAAGTGGTATAAGGAATATTTCCTTAGTGATGTTATACATGGTTCAGAGCAGTATATTAAATTAGAGGGAACAAATAAATGGTTGTAAGATATTTAAACTAGAATGTACAGTTCTGGCAAATCATAATGGCCACCTTAAATTCTACAATAAAAAAAATATAACTAGGAATTAGCTACAAGAAAGGAACACCTCTGTAATGTCTTTGTGGTCAGGTGTATTAACTGTGGTGCAATGTCACTTCTATAGCCCCTGAGAGGTATACAAAGGCAGTGGGTATCCTGGAGACAACAGTCACTAAGACAGAAAGTGTGACAGCTAAAACTGACTATATGCAAAACAAGAAAACGTTTTGGCTGGAGTTTAAGTTTAGATCAGTATTTTATTACCCTCACATTCACATCAATTAAATAATGTAACAGAAGATGTAGAGGTTTTTGATTTGTGAAGTGAGTATTAAGGAAAATTAGGTTCTACCACATGAGCTCTGCAGGTTTCAATAACATGCATGTCTTCACATGTATGTAGCATGTGGAATGTGGTGATATCCAGCATATCCAGCTGTTCATTTTCACCTAATTACAGACTGCAATTACTGTCTCTTCAAAAATTTGTGCACGGCTAAAATATACTATTGTTTTGTATATGGAACTGTAGAAACTTCTAAATAAACACCTTTCATAAATATATATAGAAAACCATTGTTGACAATTAAAAAAATACATAAAAAATAACCCATTTTCAGCCTTCACAAGTTTAAAAAAAACATTTTTAGTACGGACGAATTTACTGCAGATGAATCTTCCAGGTGAATGTGTTTTAAATGACAGATTGATTCACCAGCACTGAATCTTTGGGGAAACTCACATTCACAGCTTTATAAATATGCCTTTTGTTTCTTTTTCAATACACTTTTGTAAGGGTTTTAGCATGAAATCTTAACTTGCATTTGACTTTGCCTCTCCACCGATTGCAGATGCTCCAGACAAATGGCTGATGAAAGCAGGTAAACTAAGCAGCCAAACGTGCTGAGCATAACCTGCTTATTATACATTTATCCTTTAATGGGTAATTCCACTTCCCAGGGGAATTTGGGGAAATGGAATTACCCCCACCAGTCTGCCCCCTTTCCACCCACCGCTGCTCTTACCTTGGAACGACTAATGGTGTACCAACTGTACACTGTACATAGCAGCATAGCCCTGCACTTGGTGTTTTCTATCTTGCTCGCAAATGGTGAGCACTCATTGGTCAGCGTGGTCAGAAGTGCTTCTCATTGATCAGCGTGGTCAGCCTATGGGAATATAATTATACACGTAATTGTTCCTACTGTTTGCCCTTCCCCCTCATCTTATAATTTCCCAACTCCTCTTCATGTTGCATGTGCTTCCCCCTGTGTTGTGGAAGGTGGGCAGCCTTTTTATTTTGCTACACTTCTCCACAATGTCAGGACCACATTTCTCCTCCTCACTGCCAGCACTCCAACCTTCCTCCTCCTATGGCTGCATTAGCAGAAGAGGAGGAGGAGGAAAAGTAAATAAAGGGCAAAGTAGCAGTTCTTCTAAAAAATTGCTGATATGCGCCCCCGAGAAAGAAGAGTAAGAGGTTGCATTAGCAACACTCTAAAAGAAAGTGGCTGCCATGAGGTGGACATGTCTTTTGCTGCAGACTCGTCTTATTGAGGTGTTGCACCCAACAAGGTCTGTGATGCAGAGTCATGTGTTTCCTCATGCATTTGTTACTCAAATGGCTGTTACTTGTAGTACAGTTAATACACTGCAAGCAGAGGCTGCAGACCACAATAGTGCTGTTGGCAGCAGATATGGTATACAAAAATCCAACAATCCATGTGGGCCAAATTCAGTTAGAAATGAATTCTGGTCAATCTTCAAGATCTGACTGCTTTTTATTAGGGTTGCACAGATACCAAGTACAGTACTCGGTACAAGTACGAGTACATGTACCCATACTTTTGAGCTCAAAGACTACACTAGAGAAAAATTTAAAAATTAGAAGGCAGATGTCATTTGTAAGTAGCACACGGAGCTCCTGGGATTTGTACATCTCTGTTTTAATGTACGATTTTTTTTTAAAATAAATATAAATAAAGGGATGCATAGATACCAGTTTTGCGAGTACGAGTACTGGTACTTGCCGAGTACTTACAAGTACGAGTACTGATACATTTTTGTTTCTTGTTATGTGACAGTTTTTCTAAAACAGTACAGTCTAATGATTTCAGGACTGTGGTGGAGTGCCAGAGCCAGGTTCCAGCTGCAACCGCTGCAGCCCTGGTAGTTCTCATGAAAATGCCAAGTATCTGCACTGGTACTCGAAAAGTATCTGCGTATCCCTATATGAAACTGTTGTTCCAGTGACAAATTTTCAAAAAGATGAGAACTTAAAGTGACATTAAAGTCAAAAAAATGTTTCCCTCCCCCCAATGTTAATGAAAGCACTTACCTTAAATGATGTTTCTTAATCCAATCTTCTTTCCTGTCGTTTTCATCTGTCCCTCCAGCGCTGCGGCGGGTCTCCGATCCAGCACTGACTTCTCTGAGCTTGCTGGCACTTCCTGTCCCACGGTGTGCATGCGGATGCACGTGCCCATAGACTTACCTTGTGTCTCTCCTCGCGTCCCGGCAAAAAATGTGAACTGCGCATGCGCCCGCCCCAAGATGCTTTGCGCCTGCCCGAGCATTTTCGGATTTTCGGACGGGAGCGCGCAGGGAAGACACTGGTAAGTATTAACCTCTGTTAAAGCGTTTTGTTTTTTACACTTTTTGCATAGATCTACTGATTGCTAGCAGTAGATCTATGCAAAAAAACGGAGGCTTTAATTATCCTTTAAAGTGACATTAAAGGCTAAATTCCCCCCCAATACTGCTTTAAGGACTTACCTTAAATGATGCCTCTTGATCCGATCATCTTCTTTACAGTAGTTTTCAGGAGTCCCTCCAGCGCTGGTGCCAGTCTCTGATCCAGTGCAGACTGCTGTGTCTTCTGTATCCCACGGTGTCTGTGTGGGTGCATGCTGCTGGGCTGCGTGCATTGACTCACCCTGTGTCTCTCCTCTTCTCCCGGCCAAAGATCTCTACTGCACATGCGTGCGCCCCATGATCCTTTGCGGCCACCCCTGAATCTTCAGATTTTGGGACGGGAGCGAACGGTGAAGACACAGGTAAGTTTTAACCTTTTTGGTAACTTTTTATGTTTTTGCATATATCTACTGCTTGCTAGCGGTAGATACATGAAAAAAACCCCACAGTGTTTATTTTTTCTTTATTTTTTTTAAGAGTACAATTCACTATAGCCTTTAGATCCATTGTAACTGCTACTCCCACTGGTCAATGTAGGTCCACTACTGCTGCATAAAAAAATTAGATGTTGCATCTAAAACTAGAGCAATTTTTCCAAGATGTAGTGAAGCAGATTAGGGTGCTACTGATGTTGTATTTAAGCCAAGCAAGGAAAAGTTAAAAATAAAAAAATCTGAAAATGACTAGGACCAGTTATTTAAGATTCACCATCATAGCCTCCAAAGGGATTTGAATTTAAGTTCACAGTTTTCTGACTTGAGGATGATGATGAGTTTGAAAAACCTCGTATGAACAAAACCCAAGCACATTCTCTCAGCCCTAGGTTTTGTATTTATTCATTTAAAACTTATATTTTTGAAAAAAACATATATTAAGGTGGCTGCATATATTAGAATCTCCTTTAGGTTTCCCAGCAACTATGTGGTGAGAGGACCTACCTGACTGGATATAAACTGCATCTATATCAAATTGTAATGTGCGTGGACAAAGAGATAATACTGAACTAATATTAAGACTGTATACTGTATCTGAAATGACTAGATGTGATTGGTTATAACCTATTGTCATTTTTTTTTTTTAAATTTTGCAGATTTACCCTTCTATTTCTGTTTCATTAAAAATGTTCAGGAGTGAGCTTTACCTTAAAGCTAAACATATAAAACAACATGAATCCTTACTGAGAAAACATGAATTTAACACTGCCTTGCTGGAATACGCCAACATTTTGAACATTTCCATTCTGACTCAAAGGTATGCTGCAGGACTGGTGTGGTTTATTTTTATTTTATTTTTTGTAAACTGTAAACTTTATTAGTTGCTAGAGCTAAGAAAGAATGGAACAGGGTGAGTAGGGTATACTCCCATTTGTGCATTGCATTTATAGAAACTGTACTACCCAAATGTATTATACACTTTATCCATAAATAACCCTGTTTTACTTCATCTAGAATCTATGGTCATGCATGTAATATGAAAGTTATAAAACACTTATAGACCAGCTGTATTTGAAGATTTCAATTTTTCATAAATTATTTCATATCCAGTATACATCACACATTACTCTAGAATCTACTGTTTCTTTCTATAACAATATAAAAGTTATACAATATGCTATAGAACCTTCTTTCTGCATGCTTTGTTTAATTGTTCATTTTGCTGTAGTACCATAGTCATGTCAAAAGATGCATAAAAATTATTTTTGTATCTTCCTCATGCATATGTCATAATGAATTAGTTTAGTTCACACACTCCTAAAGCCAATACAAATGTAAAATGATATGACACCCTGCACCATTTTTTTCTAAAAGCATTTGGATATGTTTAATTGATAACAGTTGTACAATCATAAAGACAAAGTACGTTGTACACACACACACACCTGGTGCAAATTCTGACTAACTAGAACCTGCATTAAGGTGCCCACACACCTTGCGATAATCGTACGATAATCGCGGGAAATCCCGCGATCATACAATTATTGCAAGGTGTGTGGAAGGCGTGCGACCTCTGCTACTGTACGGTCGCCCGACTTTTATCTTAGGAACATGTTCGAAAACCCGCCGAGAATCGTACGATTGTCAGCGGGTGTGTGGCATGTTCGTAAGTTAAATGCCGCACGGGCTGGTGTGCGCAAGCGCACACTGCCCTTCAGCATTGCGGTCATCGGAAGCCCGCCCCGCCGATCATCGCAAGTACGATCTGCCTGTCCAAGATAGGCAGATCGTATGTTATTTTAATTACCTTACAACTTTTGTCTTGCAATGGTTGTAAGGTGTGTGCCCAGCATTAGGAGCACAGAGATTAACCTGCAGTATATGAAGTAATCTGAGCAGCTTGAAACATACACGAGCCTGTGTTAGGTCCAGTACACATGAGCATTATTTAACCACTTCAACCCTGGAGCAATTTTTTGCTCAAATGTTAACATTTGTATTTTGGCTAAAAAATTACTTAACCCCCGAACAATTATATATTTTCTTAAGGAAGGGATCATGTAGAATAAAAGTTGCAATTTTTTATGTCACACAATATTTGTGCAACCGTTTATCAAATCTATATTTTCAGGAAAAATATTCTTAAATTAATTTCACTGCACAAAAACACAATTGGATCCCAATTTTTTTGTGCAAAATAAAAGGAGAAGAGATGTGTTTAGTAGATTGATACCAAATATATCCAGCCTCAAAACTGTGTATGCCCACAAGATGGTGAAAAACTATGTTACCCAAAATTATCAATAGGCAGCCCTTTAAATGGTTATACTAAAATATTCAGTGATACGGAAAACAGAGGAATGTGTGCTGTGATTAAACAAGCTGCCCTGCTAATTAAAATAGTGATTTTTTTTTAAAAATGTGCAACGCGCTAAACATCATAAACACATAAAGAAACATTATTTATGTGCAACATAAAACAATACGTGTATCACACATATATAAATATATAAATAGTGAAATACCAAGAAATTTGCCACCTACTGCTAATATATAATAAATACTATTAGTAAATCTTTTGTTACAAACTTCTCCAATAAAATCACTGTATCACAAAATCACAGCTGTCAGGAACTACTGTGTAGTTCCTGACAGCTGAGACAGGTGGCGCTGTGATTACAGCGCCATGGTCTCAGTGATCACACGTTCTCCGTCTGCTCTATGGGCTCTATGGTGAGCTCCTATGCCGTGGTCACGGGTCCCCCAGAGGAGCGGGGGACCCCGAAAACCGCGGCGGAGGGGCCGGACAGGATCGCCGCTGCTCCTTTGATACAAGTGATCTAATCAGATCACTTGTATGAAAACAAGCGGCGGCTCCACACTATAGATTTAGCTCTGCTTGTCCGGAGCAGGGCTAAATGTACAAAAAAACTACTCGCCCGGCACCCGAAACTGCATGTCCCGGGCGTCGGACGATAGGGATTCCACACCCCTGGGTACATAGTTACATAGTTACATAGTATTTGAGGTTGAATAAAGACATTAGTCCATCAAGTCCAACCTATTAGGATCTCATTCTAGGAGTACCCGTACCCCTGTATATTACGGTCCCTTAAGAAATCGT